ACATGTGAAAGTTACTCGAGAAATAACTTCTTACATTGCACGAATTACTGTCAACGAGGAAGGGATCACCATCTGGAACACAAGGGACAACAACAACACTCAAGTGAGTACACTAGCCACAGAAACGTCTTTCTGCAACGGCTTGTGGCATCAGCAAGAGATGGCATAACTCGTTGCAAGTAAAGTTCTTCTCAAAGCGTCCCTTGGGAAGGAATGATTACTTGAACAAGTCGCCATCGCAGCGACAGTAGTCTAAGCACCCAGGGTTGTCTGAGGGTCCTCTGAAACCCAAGGTAACTGTACACTATCCTGCGTGCACGATATTGTGGCTTGAGTTGAGACAGGAGTGACAGTATTACTAGTGCCTGGCCGCTCGGCTACGTTAATAAGTAATGAACGAATCTATTGCAGCTTAATCTGAACTTCACATTTTGCAGCACTTGAACAAATCTCACATACAATCTGTGAGAACAAACACATTGCTCAAGGGCTAGGTATTGTCTTTCAGTCAGTAAGGGAATATTGGTACTGTGGACTGATTCATATTGACTTTGACTGGCATGATACACTAAGTGAACATTCAAAAGTAACTGGGACATGTTCTCAGGGAACTTACTCAAGGACATAAAAGGCAAGAAAAATAGAGAGAATGACACAATAAGCTTAAACGGGAAGAAAATGCTTAACTATTCTGCATAAGTAATTAAAAATTGACAGGTCACACTGTAAGCAAGGAAACTCACACAAGAAAATACTCAACTGAATAAACAACACTTTCAATTCAATTCAATTCAATTCAAAGTTTATTCACTATAAGGATTACAATGCTGAGTTTACAGAATTTGGTTGTTGTGTGGTTTACATGTAGTAAAAATAATGATTACAGAGTGTACCACTAGAACACCTAGCATGGCTAGGCATTTCGGGCAGACTTAGTTTAATTCTTAATTTTAAAATATTACAAATTATGAGGTAAGTTGGAATTATGGCTAAGTGACTAAATACTAGTTTGTGAGTTTAGCAATGTGAATGCTTTTGTTTTGGCACAGTACATAGTTTCAGTATTGGAGTATCACGGGATTCATTATTTTAAGATTGAGATTAATATTTCTGTTTTATGGTCAAATGGGTGAGTGAGTGTAAGTGTGAACCACCAGGTGGTATTCGTGTAGTTAGTTGACGGGGTGTATCAGGGAGATAAGATGTTTTCTAATGGTAGTTTTGAAGGTGATGAATGTGTCTGCAGTTCTAGAGTTCTCAGGTAGGGTGTTCCAGATTTTAGGGCCTTTGACATACATTGAATTTTTGTAAAGGTTTAGTCGGACACAGGGAATGTCGTAGAGATGTTTGTAGGTACTTGGGTGTTAGTTACCTGCTGTCAATATTCATCTAGCAGTAAGTAGGTACCTGGGTGTTAGCTACCTGCTGTTACTCTGCACCTAGAAGTAGGTACCTGGGTGTTAGTTACCTGCTGCCAATATTCATTTAGCAGTAAGTAGGTACCTGTGTCAGCATAGTTACTGATCCCCTTAAATGTGTTATATAGATTAGTTGAGTATCATAGTACCATCCATGTGCTTTATATAGAAGATACCTTAGACCTGTGACTATGACGTCACGGGATGCAGCGAGCGAGTGAGACGAGCTGCCTCCCTCTCACTTGGCTTTTAGACATAGGAACAGACAGAACACGGCAGGCTGGACTCCCACCTCTCATCACAGTCTGACAACTCACTGTGCCATTCATTCAATTTTAAAGTAAAGTTGAGCAAATTAGATTTGAGTAAAGTACAAGTTCTCTTGTGCCCCCCTAAAATTTTAATACCCCAACTACTTTTGATTGTCATTGTTGTATTCAACGACCATTCCACCTCATAGTGTTAATTTGTTTAAAATCTACAGAATCTATCTCCTTTTTTTACAACTTACCACATCACTGATCCATCTTATTTTATTATAAACTAGCCATAACTTGTCCTCAATAATTCTACTTCACTTTAAGAAATACTCAATTGCCCAATTTTGCTTTAAACTATATTGATCAAACTTATTGTAAACTTCTTTTATTGACCATTTTATTCTATACTTTTTTTAAACTAGTATTTTCAACTACAACTTTTATATTATCCTGTCTACCATCTTACTAGCATATTATAATCAAGTCATTGCCATTTTTATTTTTATCATTTTTTTTTATTATTCTTTTGCTACCTTCTGTATTTTATCCTGTCAATTTAAATCTAGTTATACTCTAATTCTTGTAAACAACTTATATAAAACCTTAGTGCAATTACAATTGAGTCAGCCACAGCACTGTGTCTTCCTTTGCAGATGACACCCAAATCTGCATGACAGTGTCTTCCATTGCAGACACTGCAAAGCTCCAGGCAAAAGGAAAAAGGGGAGGATGGGATAGGGAACGGGGGATTGGGGGGTAATTAGGTTCGGTCTGAGGAAGGAGACCGACAGGTCTAATTCCTCAGACCAAGAGCCTCTTCACCACGCCAAGGAGCCCCCCTTGAAGAGGGGATGTCAGTATAGCTACTGAATTCCCCTATATGTAAACTTGTGTAGTATATTGTAGATTGTATCATCCATGTATATATTTAGGCTCCCTTTCAGTAGCCTCAGTGACTAGCATGTGTGACGTCACGTGATGCCGCACGAGTGCGTGGGATGCGCTGTCCCGCTCTCAGTTCTCTGTGCTTAGGTCTATGACCAACACAGGCAGTCTGGGCTCCCCCCTTTTCACACTCTGCAATATAGTGTTACCATCCAACAAGTGTGTTTAACTCCAACCATCACATCTCCACGAACCCTCCCAACAAGGAGAAGGGTGGTGAAATGAGATGGAGTGGGGAAGAGAGGAGTGCAGGGGGGCAATTAAGTTCGGTGAGCGCTAACAGTAAAAGAGATCAACGGTTTGACAGTTAAAGGGTTAAAGATAAGATAAGATAAGATTTCGTTCGGATTTTTAACCCCGGAGGGTTAGCCACCCAGGATAACCCAAGAAAGTCAGTGCGTCATCGAGGACTGTCTAACTTATTTCCATTGGGGTCCTTAATCTTGTCCCCCAGGATGCGACCCACACCAGTCGACTAACACCCAGGTACCTATTTGCTGCTAGGTGAACAGGACAACAGGTGTAAGGAAACGTGTCGAAATGTTTCCAGCCGCCGGGAATCGAACCCGGGCCCTCCGTGTGTGAAGCGGGAGCTTTAGCCACCAGGCCACCGGGCCACCATTCAATATGGAGCAACTGGCTTACCTCAAACGATATTATTTTTATTCATGAAGTGCTAAACCCATGAGGGTCATACAGCACTTCAGGATTGGAAGTTAATCAGGTATAACATAAGATAAACTAGAGACTCTTACTTCCTTGGGTCCAGGAAATTATGGCATCTTGGGTCAAGGGTCAAGGAGAGGTAGTATAGACAAAATGGCATTATATCCTATATAGAAGTCATTTAATTAAAAAAAAAAAAGTAACCTGCACAATAACCCAGTGGCTGACTTTCCTTTCCTGCAATAAGTTACAGCAGTGGGAAAATACTACAATACATGAAATATATTAAATGGCAACAGTCTCACATCACTGGCATAGCTTGGTTTCTTTTATTTAAAATTTACTACCAGAAGGTTATTAATGTTTCATGTAACCTGTAAATTACCAGTCAAGGATAATTTAATCCTAAAATAAATTCTCGCGTGTATGTAGTACTATACAGAGATATACATCTCTTGCTACATTTAACCTTACTGGCATAAAACCAAATTTTTCACCTTTCTCCAATGAATATAAAATTTTCTTTAAAGTAATACATACAAATATTTGAAAGTACAATGTATAAAAATCTAATTTACCCATAACTGTCAACTGAAAGTCTGATTAGTAAATGAAGATATGTCCTGAAGTAAAAAATAAAACAATTTTCAACCATTTAAGTAAACTGCATTGTAACTAGAATAACTAAGTAGAATTAAGCTAAGCACTCTTGAGTATTTTAGGTTTAAACTTTTGCTTGAGTTGCATTCTATGTACAGGAGTAGCAATTGCATTTTTCTTTATTTTCATAGATGCATCATCATTCTGTAAAATGGTGAATTTTGCAAATTTTCTCTTCTTACACACTGGCTCACCAGAGCTTGACATTTTGGGAGTCTGCACAATTTTTCCACTTCTTGTTTTGGGTGTCTGCTCAGTATAAACTGAGCTGTGTGTTATTTTTGATGAGGTATTCTTAGGAGTTATGCCCTTCTTAGGAGTTTTGGCTTTCTTCAGCTCATTGTCTAAGTGTTTTACTTCAACCAGTGCACTTAGCTCCTCAGGTACCTGGTCTACTTTCCTCTTCTTAGGGGTTTTGGATTTCTTCAGTTCTGAGTGTAACTGTGTTACCTCAGTTGGTGTACTTTGCTCTTCAAGAGCTTGCATAGGATGTGCAACCTGGTATACTGTTACCTCTGAAGGCAATGTTTTCTTTGTGATTTTTAGTTTCTTGCGAGTTGAGAATTGCTCTCTCTCTCCCAGTGAGTGTGCAACTTGTATAATCTTGTCTGTCTGAACAGGCTCTGAAATACTTGTCACTTCTGAAAATATTCTCTTTATATGAGTTTTAGACTTTTTTGGAGTTTTAATTTCCTTGACATTTGTGGTCAATTGTACTTCCTGTGCAGACTGCAAAACGTTCAGTATTTTTGGACAAGACTTATCCACAGACTCTGTTTCTTCTGTAGTTTCCTTTACAATTTTACTCTTTTGAAGTTTAGCTTTAGGTTTTTTGCTTGTTGAAGAAATTTTAGATTTCTTAAAAGGTGTCGATAACTGTTCCTCTTGTGTTAATCTAATAATATTCCTTGTCTCGATATTCTGATTCTGAGCCAAATCATCTGTCGTCAGGATTGTGCTCTTTGGAGTTTTAATTTTCATAAGATTTTTTCTTGGCTTCTGAGTTACTGTCTGTAATGGTGTTCCTAATGATGGAGACACACTGTAAGTATCATTTATACCACTCATGCTATTGGACTGATCTGTCTCAGAACTATTTTCAAAAATTCTTTTAGCAGATATTGTCTTACTCACAGATTCTGATGTTACTATGGGTGACACCACTAGCGCCTTTTTGAGCAGCTTATTTGCCTGGCCTTGATTCTTGTTTAGCTTCCACTTCATTGGAGATTTTTCCTTAATCGTCTGCTCCTCATTTTGCTCAGATGTATCAGTAGAGAAAACTTTATTCTTAGGAACAATTTCAACTGCAACAGCTGAATCTGAACTGTTTCTCTGAGAAAGTGTTTTTTTTAACAGCAATTTTTGTTTTCAAGAGAGTATTTTTCTTTGTAGAAACACATCTTCATCTGAGTGGGTATTGTATCTTTATCTACTGGGCTTGAAGGAAGATTCTCATCAACACATTCTTCATGGGTCACATCCTTACTAACTTGTCCAACTGATTTCTTACCCTTTTTCTTTTTTGCTTTTTTTGCCACAAGTCTTCCCTTTATCTGGAAAAGAAGCAAATGTAATAATACCAGCCAACAAGAGTGCCAAGAACTTATCCTGTGATAAACCAAACTAACTGAAATAGCGCTACTGAACCATTAGTGGAATTCCTGACAATATCAGTATACAGTAGGGCCCCATTTACATGGCAGGTTAGGTTCCAGGCTACCACCTTAAAGCAAAAATCACCTGAGAGCAGAATGCCATTTTTTCACTTATAAATGCATGACAACAAGTTTACACTAACTTATATTAAGCTAGTAATAGAACTAGGCATTAAAATACACAATAAAAAGTAAAATACATACAGAGTACATTCATTACTTACCTTAAAATATTTGTAGTCTTAATGTAAGGCGAGAGGTGAATAGTACTTACTTGTAGGAAGTCAGGTGTAGGTAGCCCTGGCTCCCCATCCCAAACTTAATATACAAGATTTAGCCCTTTGACTGTTTTGGTAGTACAGTGGACCCCCGCATACCGCACGCATCGCATACCATACAATCCGCATACCGCTCGCTTTTTTCGCAAAAATTTTGCCTCGCATACCGCCCAAAAACCCGCTCACCGCCCTTCGTCCGAGACGCGTCCAATGTGCGGCCTGAGCCACGCTCACAAGTTCCGCCGGTGGCATTGTTTACCAGCCAGCCTCCGCAGTAACATCCAAGCATACAATCGGAACATTTCGTATTATTACAGTGTTTTTGGTGATTTTTTCTGGAAAATAAGTGACCATGGGCCCCAAGAAAGCTTCTAGTGCCAACCCTACAGCAATAAGGGTGAGAATTACTATAGAGATGAAGAAAAAGATCATTGATAAGTATGAAAGTGGAGTGCGTGTCTCCGAGCTGGCCAGGTTGTATAATAAACCCCAATCATCCATCGCTACTATTGGTGGTACAGCTGCTGCTGTACCACCGTCAGCTGCTGCTGCACTGTCAGCTGCTGCTGCTGTTGTACCACCGTCAGCTGCTGCTGCTGTTGTAGCATCGTCTGCTGCTGCTGTAGCATCGTCTGCTGCTGCTGTAGCATCGTCTGCTGCTGCTGTAGCATCGTCTGCTGCTGCTGTAGCATCGTCTGCTGCTGCTGTAGCATCGTCTGCTGCTGCTGTAGCATCGTCTGCTGCTGCTGTAGCATCGTCTGCTGCTGCTGTAGCATCGTCTGCTGCTGCTGTAGCATCGTCTGTTGCTGCTGTAGCATCGTCTGTTGCTGCTGTACCACCGTCAGCTGCTGCTGCTGCTGTAGCACTGTTGTTGGTGTGGCTTATTGAGAATACCAAGAAACAATTAACCCCAGAGGATTTGCCACCCAGGATAACCCAAAAAAGTCAGTGTCATCGAAGACTGTCTAACTTATTTCCATTGGGGTCCTTAATCTTGTCTCCCAGGATGCAACCCACACCAGTCGACTAACACCCAGGTGAACGGGGAAAAATGCCTGGAAACTAGTGCTCATATTGGTAAATTTTAAAAGCCAGCAAAGGTTGGTTTGAGAGATTTAAGAATCGTAGTGGCATACACATGTGATAAGGCCTGTTCTGGAAGAAAATGCCAAACAGGACCTACAGTACTCAGGAGGAAAAGGCACTCCCAGGACACAGTGTCTCATCAGTCAAATTTCTGCATCTTCAATAAAGGTAAGTGTCATTTATTCTTCATTTAGTAGAGCAGTACATGCACAATATATACTGTGCATGTACTACTCTACTATTGTGCATGTATCCTTCTCTTTGTGTGTAGGAAAATGTATATTTCATGTGGTAAAATTTTTTTTTTCATACTTTTGGGTGTCTTGCACGGATTAATTTGATTTCCATTATTTCTTATGGGGAAAATTCATTCGCATACCGAACATTTCGCATAACAATCAGCCCTCTTGCACGGATTAAGGTCGCTATGCGGGGGTCCACTGTATATATACGTCTTATGAGCCAGTGTTTCGGACATATATATACTCAATAATTCGGTACATTCCATATTATCCATATTATCACTGTTTTTGGTGCCCCAAGAAAGCTTCTAGTGCCAACCCTTCGAGACCAAGAGTGGTAATGATTATTGAAATGAAGAAAGAGATAATTGCAAAGTACAAAAGTGGAGTGCATGTGTCGGAGCTGGCCAAGTTGTATAGTAAACCCCAATCAACCATCTCTACTATAGTGACCAGGAAAACGGCAATCAAGGAAGATGTTCTTGCAAAAGTGCAGCGAAACAGCGACCGCAAGTGTTAGAAAATGTTGAGAGACCGTTATTGGTGTGGATAAATAAAAAACAGATAGCAGGAGATAGCATCTCTCAAGCGATCATTAGTGAAAAGGCAAGGCAGTTGCATGATGATTTGGTAAAGAAATTGCCTGCAACTAGTGGTGATGTGAGTGAATTTAAGGCCAGCAAAGGTTGGTTTGAAAGATTTAAGAATCATAGTGACATACATAGTGTGATTGGCATGGTGAGGCTGCCAGTTCAGACCAAAAAGCAGCTGAAAAATATGTGAAAGAATTCAAGGATTACATAGACAGTGAAGACTTGAAACCTGAACAAGTGTTTTTAAATTTCAACGAAACAGGCCTGTTTTGGAAGAAATTTGGGCCCAAGCAGGGCCTACATTACTCAGGAGGAAAAGGCAC